AGACTGTTTTTAGACATGGTCCGTCGGACTTGAGTTCAGACGAGAAAATGGGTCCCGACGGGACTACAGCCAGCACGCATCCGAACTGATGACTCCCGGAATGAGTCCGCGACTGCGTCATTTCTCTCCTGTCCGATCTCTCTGTTCTGGTTCGTAGACGATTCAGAATGCGGTTCGGCACTAGTGCTGTGCATCGCCTGATGGGATGGGCCGATAGATCCGAATCGATCGCATTCGGATCACATGGCATTCTACATTTTTAAAATAATTGGATTCGGATTCGGATTCGGATTTCAACATAATTTCGTCGGATTCGGCATTCAAATTGTCGTCTTTGGGGATTCGGATCGGCCAGTCGGAAGCTTTCAAAAATTGGCTATCGGGATTCAGAACGGATCGCGGGATTGGTACCGTGAGGCAATGCGACCCCTCTGTTACGTTTACTGGGCATTAATGGAGTGGATAACTTGGATCTAACTCAGTCTCGACACATTAAACGGATACAAATAAACAAACAACACAAGAATATTTTATTTTTCGCAGCATGTTCCAGCAATCAGCATCATGTACATGATCACACAATGTACCAAGTGACACTTTGATTCTAACTCCTGTCTTCCAGTTTCTAAGTTCTAATTTTGACATGGTGGTACGAAAACGGCCACTCACTATATTTTCATCTTTGAAGTTCGATACATTATAGTACAACTACAGACGTTTCGTAAATTCGTAGTAATTGTACCACCATGTCATTACTGCCACTGAGGTAAAGTTAAGGACAACAGCTGGAACTGATGGGACGATTTTTGATATAGAAACATTATCGTTTCAGATTTCTCCCGATCATCCCTCTCCCCCGAACAGTTCTCTAACTTTTCCTTTACGTCTACGATTTGCGCGACATTAATTTTTTTATTGTGTTCAAAGGCTCACCCGAAAACTGCGCAGCTCACGTACACCACCTTTTATGGTTAGTATATATTATATAATATTATATACAGGGTTCTCCTCCAGATGAAATTCAACAGGGGGGACGGGGAGGGGTAGCGGGGGAGGGGAACTAGGGGGAGCGGGGGAGCGGGCGAAACTAGGGGGTCCGGGGTCAGTGTTTTTACGTACGATCTAATTAAATGCCGTAAAATCGCCACCACCCACTAGACGTCGTATTTGGGCGTTCTTATATATAAGATAGCCGACGATCGGATGTACAGTTATGCTGACAGGAGTTAACTTGTGTACGCTGTCTGCGCTGCAAATGCGTCGCGATACCGGTAAAAATACACGGCGTTCGGATTCCTGATCGATACGGCAATTCTTCACGATGATCACCCTCCGCGCTGCAGGCAACTTTTTATTAGTGGTGCCGATTTTTAACCGCGGGCGATCCATCGGGAATTTAAACCAGGCGTCACACGATTCAAACCAGCGGCGCGGCAGTTTTTCCAAACGCCGCGCACGCGCCCGTTTGCGCCAAGTAGTGGAGAACCCTGATATATGTATCTATAAACAGAACTTCGCTTTCGCGAGAAGTGAAAACAGTTTCGGTGACCGCCGTTTGCTACCACGCTTGAAACAGTTGCCAGAGTTAATGTACACCGGTCGCCCGTGCGTCTCATTCATGTTGTGCACCCCTCACCCGTGGGCAAGCACGGGTACGTACACACGCACCCCGCACGCATGGACGCACGTGTTCTACGTGCACATGCACGCACGCACGCAGCACGCACACACACGCACACAGCACGCTGTACCTGCACATGCACGCACGCATACCACATACGCATGCACGCCACGCGACGCATGCACACACACACGCATGCACAGTACTGTGTACGACCACACGGCCACACACGGCACGCACGCACGCCACGCCACGCACGCACGATGCACGAACGTGTCTTGCACACGCACGCATGCACGCACGCACGCAGCGCACGCACGCATGCCGTGTAGCCTACATACGCACGCAGTACGTGTACGTGCACACGCACGCAATCGAATCTGACCATGTCTTTTGAAAAATCCGACTCCAAATTTCGAATTTCTTCTCTCTCCCCTTCCCCTTCAAATCCTCCATACGACAATTCTTGAATCGATCATTCTTTATAAAAATTGTAAATCCGAGTCCGAATCAATCCGATTGGATTCGGATTATCGATCCGACGCACAGCATTAGTCCGGAACTCATTCTGTTTTCCTGATCCAGCCCGGACTCCACATGCATTGTGTTCTATCAGTACGGACATCTCACACCAGTCGGAATCATATCTCTACATAACGTCCGCGGACCCAATTCTACACACAGCCGGAACATTTCTAATTAGAGTCCGCGGACCATTCTACACCAGTCCGGTGGGCATTCTACACCGAGATCCGGTCGCACACACTTCTGTTATTCGTACACCCAGGTGGGGAGTCCGAGCGGGGACTCGACCGCGACTCAGTTCTCGGTGTCATCAGTCCGCGACCATTCATACTTGTTCGCGGACGGTCATTACCTCTTGCTACCAGTGGAGGGTGGCCGACCATTCTCTATACCTGTCCTGGAGATTCATATGTCTGTATGCTACCAGGTCCGGACCCATTCTGTATCAGTCCGACCATTTAGTACCAGGTCTGACCAATTATATATCAGTCTTTATTATTATTTATATTATTATTCAGGGTGTCCGGGTTTTATTTCACGCGTTTATTTGACGCTTGCAAGTGTGTGCTGTATGTGATGTGTGTCCTGCCGCGTTTGGCCTACGCAGGCCGATCGCGGTCACATCACAAGCCGGCCGCGTCACGCGTTTGGCCTTGAGGCTCGGTCGCTTGTCTGTCGGCATCTGCGCTGTCACGTGCGTGTACCAGCGTGTACTGTATGCGTGTACGTGCGCAGTGTACCCGCGTGTACTGCGTGTACCCGGTGTGCACGTGCTGTGTTTCCTGGTGTACGTTTTGCGTGTATCTTGCGTGTACTGCGTCGTACCCGCGTGTACGCTGCTTGTATCTGCGCTTGCACGTGCGTGTACCCGCGGTGTACGTGGCGTGTACCTGCCGTGTACGTGCGGATGTACCGCGTGTACTGTGGTGTATTCTTCCGTGTACCGGCGTCGTGTACTGGTGTATCTTGCGGAAACCCATTGCTTGTATCAGTGCGGATTCATTAGTCCAGTCCGGACCGATTAGTATATCAGTCCTTATTATTATTATTATTATTATTCGCGGTCGGTTTTACTTCACGCTTTCAAAGTGTTGTGCTGTGTGTGATGTGTGCCGCGTGTGCTACGCAGGCCGATCGATCGATCGTTGTACATCATAAAGCCGCCGCCCGTCCGCTGTGGCCTTGAGGTTCTGCCTCCGGGTTCCGGGTTTTATTCACGAGTCCGTCGGCGTCCGGGTCCGGGTTATTATTTGCAGCCGTTTTCCTGGGGTCCGCGGTCCGGGGTTTATGCAGGTTTTCGGGTCTGGGTCGGGGTCTTGGGGCCGGGTTTGATAGCAGGTTTCCGGTCCGGGTCCGGGTCCGGGTCCGGGTCGGGTCCGGGCCGGAGCGTTTTTATTCCACACCCGGTATAAGCCGAGAAGGGAACTTGTGGCTAGTTGGGCCCTACAAACTTACAAGTTAAATTACAATTGACATTTACAATTTACATTGTACTTTACATTTGCTAAGTTACACTTACAAATACAATATCAAATACATTCTGCCTACATATTTTATGATATTACAACACTCAACATGAAACACTCGACTCGAGTTTGGTCTTCCAAGTACTGTGGAGCTTTAGTGCAATCTCGAGAACCGCTGCAATTGCCGCTCACAATCTCACGATCTTTAAGGAATGCCACAGTGCCAATCAATTGACAATTGCACGTGAACACTAACGACAATATACCTACATTCACACACATGTCACTGCACACACGATGCATGCACTGGCCAAATACGCTATAGGACTTACAGTTAGACCATCCGGTATCAGTAAAATTTGGTGAAATGACCTGTAGTAGGCAGCCCTGCGTACATGCGATGTGTATGCATCCTCCTTTTGCAGAAGCAGGCTGCATCATAAGATATAGTTTGATTATACATAGGTGTAACTTTTCGTAAGCGGTGGTCAGTTGGATATATGCTTATAGCCATCTGTTGCTTGTTTTCAGCGGCTGGCGACTATATACCTTGCCGACATGGTTAGAAGATAAACACGAACAACCACGAGCCAGAGGGGTTATCAGATATACAATTTTTGTAAGTATCCGCTCTGTTGCCAAAACCCATTTTTGAGGTTATGAGATGTAGTGTCTTATTACTCATTGTAGCCGCACCGTGTCTGTGTGTTCTAATAATCCATCCATAATCCAAATCCTTTGTTGTGGAATTTTTATTCATTCGATAATAAACAGTTATAGTAGGCTTATGATATTATTTCCCTTAGTTCTGCGAAAACACCGACTGAAGCTCCCCACTGAAAAATCATACCATTCTGGGTGCAAGAGAACTAACTCGTGGAGGCCGACCTGTCATTACACTCCGTGCCCGAGCGTTTCCAAAAAACTGAAACCTCCGTGCAATGAGATAACGTGGTATGCGTCACATACTCTAGTGCTTGTAAAATGGTAACTGGCAACACCAGCAGCGATTTAATTCAGCATAAAAACAGTTCATACCAATGCTATGTTTAGTTATTTTGTTGTAGCCTATATAATAGTTATTGTTTTGTTTGATATTGTTTTATTATTATCTTTCTCTGCAGTGGGCATATAGCAATATATGTTGGCATTTTGCGGGAAATGTATTGAGCCATGAGTTTCCATGGATGCTGCTCATCTGTGGCTATAGCTGCCTCAGTTTTGCCACCTTACTGTTGCTTGCAAACATTTCCATACCTCGCGAACTTGACGATCACCAGCACTGATTTGCGTTCACTTGGTGAGACGCTGACTAAATATTTGTTAATTGGTAATGCCTAGCTTTCAATGTGGCTTGATTTAGATTTCAGTCGCTGAAAAGGGCGTCATAATCAGGATTGCTTTATATGATATCCCAAGTATTAATAAATATGGCCAAGCTTATCTGCCACAACAAATTGTTTCTTACCAATTTAGCATATGTCCTCAGAACGATTCATACAAGTATGCTTAGAATTGAATGTGTGATTCGTTTAACATTACTTTTCTATGTTTCAGTGTTTATTTGGGTGTCACAATTATTTGGCTTTTAGCTCACTTCTCGGCATGCTATAACTACCCAGTTTTCTGAGGTATGTATTATCACACTCACTTGTTAAATTTTATAGCTATTGCTTTTTGTTCATTACTATTCTACATTAGTGTATGAGTGTAGTTAAATTTATTATTATCATTTCTTTCATTGTGTCTACTGTGCTACTATATCTGCCTGTCTGGCATTGCTTTGTAGATCCTTATCCTACTTCACATTGTGCCAGTGGCTTGTGCCATTCACGTTCTTCATCTCCTTGTCTCGCCAAACGAGCTTGTATTGCCAACGATAGTGACGAGGGGGCCCGCCACATGCCAGAAACCAGGTGTACAGTCATGCACAGAAAATGGTGTTTGTGGCCCATGACGCCGTACCTTCAGCACAGATCTAGCACGGAGCGGGGTTACTTCAATTTATCCTGTCTGGCCATGCCTGTAGGATGGCGATGTCTAAACTGTTCAGTGTCAGCTTCATCGTCGACTGGTGTGATTTACATTCTCTGTCTGACACATGTCCTTTGATATAATATTTGATACTCGAGCTGTGGTGACTCATAGATGTTTAGCTATGGCAATTGCTGATAACAGCTGACTCCCGGGGCATTCAGATTATATAATTTATGTTGGAATTTATGAAAAAAATCTCTTAGGCAAAAGTTACAGATCTCCATGAGTGCCTATATGCCATCGTGGTATGTAATGTGTGCATAATCGCATTTGAGTGCCCAGATAATTCCACTTCTACATTTCAATAAACGTCTATAATTACGCTGACACTTTTTCATGAACTTATTCGAGACAATAGGATCAAGATGTCGGGTGATAGTAGTTACTTCAGTCCGCAAGGCAACAGTTATGCAGGGGCTGCTAACCTTCTTCACACTATTGCTAAAGACGCTGTGTTGCACAGAAAAGAAGGGAAAGATATGGAGAAGAGGAGAGAGAGAGAGAGGAGAGAGGGGAGGACCGACGAGGCAGGAGAGAGACGAGAGAGAGGAGGGGGAAGCTGAAAGCGAGAGGAGTAAGAGAAAGGAGGAAGGAGTACTGGAAAGAGAGGGAGAGAGGTACGAGGAGACGAGAGAATGAACAAAAGAGAAGGGGAGACAGGTGGAATTCTTTAGAAGAGGTAGAGAGGGAATGTACTAATGCGTAACTGAGGATCAGCGCTGATAGGGCCAGGCCTTATCGTAGAGGGACTGAGAGGACTTTCAAGGGGTTATTGCATGCATGGATGATCGATCTTGTTTTTTTTAGAGGTTGTGAGGTCGTGCCAGGGGTGTGCGCCAACAATTTAGCATGAACTGTCCATCTTAGTATAGAAAACCTCATGCATAAAACATTTCTGAACCTTGATATGTTAAGCTTGTTGTGCACAAGCAGAGTTTTGCAATGACAGGATCATAGAGAGAGGGGTCGTCATGCGGCCACACGTCCTCTCGATGCCTGGTACTTCAGAGAAAGTAGGTCAGTTAAGAATTAGTAAGTATGTGATTAGGGGCAGGCGTCATCAAAATCAAGACGGCAAGTATGGAAAGTGACAGAGCAGAGAGAGAAGGTGACATTTGTGGATATGTACTACATCAGAGAGGAGAGCAGAGAGGAGAGAAGAAGAGTCGGGATCTGGAGCAAAACAGGGAGGACTGGCTGGAGGTGTGCCAGAGAGAGAGATAAGTATAGACGGATGTCAAAGCACGGTCGAGTTGCACGAGATGCTACGGGAGACAGAGATGTGAGAGAGGAGGAGGAGAAGTGGAGAGAGAGAGAGGAGAGAGAGAGACGGTGAGAGATGAGAAGAAGATAGACGTGTAGGTCAGAGAGAAGAGAGGAGGAGAGAGGAGAGACGAGCATGAGGAAAGAAAGAAGAGATAGAGAAGGACAAGAGGCGAGGATAGGAGAGCCGGAATGCAGTGCGGAAAGATGCAGAGAGAGTTGAGGAGAGGTAGAGAAGAAATGTATTGATAGACGAAGACCGGTAATAGTCGTAAGCTCATGTGGGGAAACGATTAAGTTCATAAATTGGATAGAAGAGAGGAGAGAGAATGGAGATGAGACCGAATCTGAGGCCATGGAGTGATACGGAGAGGTTGAGAGAAGAGAGAGATTGGGGAGAGAGAGAGAGGAGAGAGAGAGAGAAGAGAGAGCCAGAGACGTGAAGAGATGCAGCAGAGAGAGACTGGCTGTCGCGAGATTGATGAGAAAGATGAGCTATGTTGCAGTAAAACGCAGACTGGAGGGACGAGAAGGGTGAGCGAGAGAAGAGAGAGATGAGCAGAGAGAGGGAGAGACGAGAGATGAGAGAGAGAGGAGAGAGAGAGAAGAGGCAGGAGAAGGAGCAGAGGAGAGAGAAAGAAGACGAGAGAGAGAGACGGACTGCAGCAGAGAAGAGAGAGAGAGAGAGCGATGGACGAGATGAGATATACAGAGACAGAGAGGACAGAGAGATAGGGAAAGTAAGAGAGTGAAAATAGAGATAGAGTGAGAGATGGCAGATTTGATATCTCTCTCTCTCTCTCTCTCTCTCTCTCTGTCTCTCTCTCTCTCTCCTCGCTGTCTCTCTCTCTCTATCCCTCTCTCTCTCTCTCATTCTCTCTCTCATCACCAAATCAGCAGCTCAGTGAGCTAAAGCTATCTCCAGTCTCATTAGCTCGCTCATTAAGCTAATTGACATTGCTCGTGTGATGCAGAAGGCGGTGGCCGTGCGTCCCACCTCTCCCGATGACAGCCCCCAGATAGAATTCACACAGGACAGCCAGGACATGTGCTACATCTCCAATGTTAACTCGACCTACGATTATTCCCTACTGTACGATGAGAGCCGCGCCGAGAAGGAGCAGCCAGCTGCTTCCAGGTATATTTTGTCAGTAACGAAAAATACCGGAAGCTTCCGTTGGCAGCATGTCAATATGCTGGTCTCTGAACATAATATGTGAAACACATGAATGATTAGCGTATATATTGACTAGTATTGACCTTATTAGTAGAGCCTATGCCCATAGCAGGTGAGGTAACTATACGCTATCGTTTGTACTCCAGCGATCAGCCAGCATCGTCTGCGTCGGATGAAGCCCCGCAAGAGAAGCCTACAGCCGTGAAGAAAGCGTGGGAGGCAAATAAGGAAGACTCGAGGTACGAGATTGCAAACCTATTCTTCACCGTGCCTGACTATATGGCACAGTGGCCCAGATAATGAAGCAGTTTACTGGGAACGGTTGCAGCAAAAAAACGTGTTTGATCTACCCCCTTATAGTTTTCGTCTTGAAATGTCTTGTTGCACGTGGTGTTAAATGCGGTATATATAGTGGGTCTGTCTCCATGTCTTGTGCAGTTCTTCAAAGATGAATGTGGAAACAAAGTCTAGCTTGAAGAAGAAGAGGGCAACACAACCAACAAAGCAGAAACAGGAAACTCGCACTTTCTCATCCAGATCCAAGAAACCTGAGCAGGAGGAGGAGGAAGAGGAGGAAGAGGAGGAGAACGAAGAGCAGGAGGAGGAGGAGGAGGAGGAGGAACAGAAGGAGGAAAAGGAGCAACAGAAGGAGGCACAATCAGAGAGTCTTAGCCCTGCCTCCTCATTTGCTCTTGCATGCAGGGCAAGTATCCAAGACAATAAGACAGTAATGGATTTGGCACAGTCGTTAAGGTTTGTTTTGTTATTCTCCATGTGAGTGATTAGTGGAAGATCAATTCAAAACTCTCATTGAAAGTTTTATTACATTGCAGGATATCGTCACAAGTTCTAAAGCGCACAAAGCTATTAAAGCTCAAGAAAAGAAAACGGTAATGCTGAGAGACAATTACGATTTTCACGTGCACATCTCACGGAAAGCCATCCGGACTTTTCTGTGTTTGGATTCTATTCACTGTCAATTCTTTACCAGTTTAAACCTCGTACATACAGATAACTTATTTACTATTCTATCTACTATTATGCAACCTCACGGTTGAGTAGAAATCAACCAAGTTATTTATATTAATAATCAACCGAATGAACTTATTTAAGGATTCTTGTACATACACTTCTCTTGGGTTCACAGCACGTGTGCAGCCTGCTAGCTAACGCGTTACAGCTCGTGTTGCAGACGAGCAAGCGCAAGTCCAAGAGCGTCTTCGATACGACGAACACGGACGAGACTGAGAGCGAGGTGAGCTGGTTGGCCAGCCACAGGAAGTATCAAGACCCGAAGATGCCGAGTAGGACTTACGCTCCAGCTGCGGCCAATGCCTTGCGCGCGACCCTGAAGCATAGCGACGCCGCATCGGTGAGCTCCAGCCTCCATACCAGATCCTCGCGTAGATTTTGACCTTTTTCTCTGACAAAAGAAAATGATGCAATTTCTTTCTGTTAAACAGTGTAACTGCGGGACTCTGAAATGTATTGAATCTAATGGTTTGAAAGGGTGGCACTATTTCCACATACACTGTTTTGAATTGATTTCACAGTGCTAGTAAAATGCCTGTGCATTGACATCTGTTACTATTTATATAGAAATGAGTTCGTAAAGTTACTAGGTATAATCATTGCTTTCACCTTTGCACAGAATCGAAAGATATTTGACTTTGGCACGAGTAGCTCCAATGGTGCAAGCCAAGATGATAATCTGATGTTAGATGAAGCAGAAGATGGAGCGATAGAGGATGAAGATGATGCACTATCACCAGAAGTAGCGACAGGGGCCCACCCTCGAAACAAAGCAAAGCAGCAAGAAAGGGCAAGTTCTGAACTCAACATTAAGAAATTACATAACTAACAATTTCATAATCGCGGCACTAGAGGCCCTGTCATCTTCTGTTATGTTTAGACACATTGCAAAAACCGTGCAAACTACATTATATCAATGTTGCTTTTAATACCAATTGCGAATCTTAATAATAATGTTAATTGTATTATCAATAGTAATTGTATTTATATTAAAGTGAAATGTAATATCAGAGTAATTGTAATGTTGTCGCTCGGATCTGTAAACACAATAATTACAGAGGACGGCCAAGACCCAGCAGAAACCACAGAAACATTCCGCTAATAAGCAAAAACCCGAGGATAACCACCACCGGCGCCCTCTCACCACGAGCACGGACACTGACGATGGTAACAACCGGAGCCTTCTCCCCACAAGGAGGAATATTGGTGGTAGTAACCAGCGGCGCCCTCTTGCCACAAGCACGGACCGCGACGACGATGACCACCGGCGCCCTCTGACGACGAGCGGAGACAGTGACGACGAAGATTTACTGGATGCGAAAACAAGAGCCAACACCTCAGCCAACAGCCTGACATCCAGCCAGTACCCGGGCAGTGACGAGGAAAGGATGGAGGAGGCTGACGTTGCCGCAACAATGAAACAGCGCTGCACGAAGGAACGGACGATCGCGAGAGGCTCGCGAAGCCTGCATGCAGATGGCGCTAGCGTCGGCAGCAGCTCGGGAAGTGGTGACATTCGGCAGTTGTCGTTTGGCCACGCAGCGGCAAGTAGGAAGAAGCGGGTGGCTCTGGGAAGAGCCATCAGAACCCCAGTATCGCCGAGGACAGCTTTACGCATGAGTGGTACCCCATTTATATATGTGTATTTATGCAAAAAATCGTGGAAACAGGGTTAAGTGTCTTAAGTAAAACATTTAAGCCACATAACACTGCTATCAATCTAGTGGTTGTATCTAAAGAAGAAAAAAAAAAAATATATATATATATATATATATAGCACATTGCTGTTTTTGGTAGATTAACTTTGACCTTCGGTAGACCAGTCATTTGTTTTCATGGTTATATGAAACCTTTTCGCTACTTCCACCATTGGTGGCAACAGACGGATCTGCCTTAATGAACAAACATGAGATTGTTATATGCACACCCAGATCATTGCTTGGTCAGCAAGGGTCAGGATGATATGGCTGTGAGACTGTAATTGTTCATAATATTTTTTACAGCAACAGCCGACATTTCGGATGAAGACTTCGATGATGAAGCGGTGCCTCCGACACCGTCCCAGGCGATCCCAGTAACCAGTGTAAGCCAATCAATCAGTCTTTCTCGATTACTGTTCTACTGAAACAGTCACATTATCACTTGGAGCAGGACATGAGACTATAGTGCCAAGGTAGTCTAGAGCTCGTAGTAACTTGATCTCTATAGGACCAACGTTCAGGCACTGTTAACTGCAATGTGTTGAGTACTATTATCTGCATTATGTTACAGGTACTGGGGGTCATATAACCACCCTTATTTGGTGCCAGATCCTTATACAGACCCTGACAATATCATGCTGACCCAGTGTCATTTACTTTCCCTGGCACCAACCCAATAATTGCAGTGTCACGGCAGCTGAGGGAAAACTTTATGCATGCCAAAAGGGACTAGCACAGTAAGAGTGTGTAGGTACCTATCTTATCAGTGCAAGTTGTGGATGTGGGGCCTGTTGTCAGAAACAAAATTAGTCTTAGCATTAACTTTTTTTCTTAGACCGTCGACAGAAATGCTGCGAAGCTACCTGAATGAAAAATTGTAGCAGATTTCCTCATAACAATACGAAACAAAGTGCTGTCGACGGTCTACGAGAAAATGTTAGTGTTAAGACTGATGGTAAGACTAATTTTGCTTCTGACAACGGGCTCGTGGTGTCCTAAACAAGCGTTCTGTCGCTGTATGAGGTCGCGTGTGTTGTACGCACGTGCTTTGTCCTACAGGAGGCGCCACCTACGCCCGCAGACGACGAGCTCAGTTCTCTTGTCTTGGACGACGAATCGGAAGACCCGGATTATTTTGCGCCGCAGAAGAAAACGCAGCAGCGCCACCTGGAGTCGTTTAGCAGCATCGACACCGACCTTATGAAGTCTGGTCCCTCGCAGTGGCGGGTAGGACTGGGGCTGAGCAAGAGGAAACTGAGAGAGATATCCTTTAAGTCGTGTTATCGAACATGTGCGGCGTGCTGATCTTTGTAGTCGAGCGTCGCTTATTAATTAATGGAGATTTTATGCATTTTCAACGATGCTGCGGCTATATCTGCCTCCGTTGGTTAGTGTGTGCATGTGTTGGTGTCTGTGTGTTTGCGTTGGTGACTGAGCGTGTGTGTGTGCGTGCGTGCGTGCGTGCGTGCGTGCGTGCATGTGCTAGTTAGTGTGTGCATGCGTTGGTGAATGTGTGTGTGCGCGTGCGTTGGTGAATGTGTGTGTGCATTGGTTAGTGTGTAGCTACGTTGCTCGGTGTTTCACATGTGGACCCAGCATCACTGACTATATCTGATGAATCCCTTAATCACTGCTGCACCTAGACATGGAAGAGGAGGAGGAGGAGGAGGAGGAGGAGGAGGAGGAGCGCGAGGAGGAAGATGAGCCAGAAGAATATCAGCTGAGCAAAATAGCGAACACGTTCAAACCAAGGACCCTGTTCGCAGCTGCTCACAGCGGTCAGTGTCCAGCGGCGTGCCATTAATAGATGCTTTCGTTGGCGCCCTCTGCGAATTGCAACGAAAGACTAAATGCTGTCGTTAATGAGGGTGAACTGAGAAGGTTGGGGGAGGGTCACTGGGTGCTATACTATGTCACAGAAGGCTGTGATGTTGGGAGATTGGGAGAGGTCTGATATCAGGAGATCATTGTAGGATGTGATGTTATAAAGTCGGGTGTGAGCGTGATATCGGGTGTAGGTGCAATATTTAAAGGTTGAGGTGTGGATGTGATAATAGAGAGTGGGTGTGGGTGCGATATCAGATACTCAGTGGTGTGTGCAGTATCAGAAGCTTGGGTCAGTATGCAGGATTGCATGATATTACAGATGGGTGCAAGGTTGCACTTGGGTGTGGTCAGCTTGATGTAGGTGTTCACCAACAACTGCTGTATATTATAGGTGCACCTGAGCCATCTCAGGTGTCATCGGTAGACAGGGACGATGGCGCACTTGGTCTTGGAAATGTCTCTTCTATCATACAGATGTTTGGTACTGATGTACAGAAATCTATGAAGGTACATGTATGCTATATACGCTCGCCCAATACTGATATCATTACGAGTGCATTCGGGTGTGGCAGTGCGCACGTGCGTGCGTGCTTGCGTGATGTACAGATTCCTACGTAAACTTACAACTTACAAGCTTATAAAGGTGCAGGCCTGTCATGTGTGCGTATAATACCATCGACTTGCTACTCTCAGAATATTTGTTTACATGTTAGAGTATCACCTGTGTTTCTGTGATAGAATAATCACCTGTGTTTACTTGATAGAACAATCACAGGTGTTTGCATTATAGAACAATCACCTGTTTGCATTATAGAACAATCACCTGTGTTTACGTAATAGAACGATCACCTATGGTTACATTATAGAACAATCACCTGTTTGCATTGTAGAACAATCACGCGTGTTTACATGTGTGTTTGTGTAGGCTAAGCAGCAGCATCTCACAAAGCTGACGAGGGCTTCGGTGAATAGCACGCAGCACGAGCTGGCTTCATTCTGGGCCGAGCAGAACGAAACGCGGTCAGTATTATAGCACTCTCGGTGGTGGCAGAGCAAGTACTTACATCTCTAGTAGCCACAATGCTCTCTCACACACACACACACACACACACACGCATGCACACACACACACGCACACGCTCATGCACACACGCACGCACACGCTCATGCACGCATGCACGCACGCACACACACGCACACGCTCATGCACACACGCACGCACGCACGCACGCACGCACGCACACACAGACACACACACACACACACACATCTATATTTAGATATAGATATATATATATCTACACACACATATATATATATATATTTAGATATATATATATATATTTAGATATAGATATATATACATATATATAGTAGGTATCGTAGTGGCGTTGCACTTGATGAGTCTTACTTCACATTGGTGAGAAGATATTGATGGAGGTATGAATTGCTTTCAGACAAACTGCTCTTGAGAGGTTCAAGTCGGGCGTGATAGAGGAGCTGGCAGCACTGGAGGCGGACGTGCAGAACTCTAAGAGCCTCGAGGACGAGACTATGGTACGAGCGCGTGTGCGTGTCGGCATGTGGTCAGCCAGTTAACTTTACCCTTGGTGTGCTGGCAACTGACATGTCTGACTGAACGAGTTAACTCTGTTCCTTCTCCTCTGGATATTGCTGGGTCGGTCAAGTGAGACCAGTTTGTGGGAATTTTGCAGACCAGAATGTCGACTTCCTCCCTTCGTCGTCGAGCATTGTTTTTAGAACATCTTATCGCAGCAGTGATTGGTTAGAGCTGCCTGCCACTCACGCTGGTCGGAATAGTTGGTCACAGGGAGAGCGCGCGTGTTACTACAGTGTAGCTCGAACATCAAAGTCTACATAGTTATATTATAGTTATAGTTATAGTTAGATTATATAATTAATATTAGAGCGGACACAGTCTCACGGTAGAAGATCTAACTGTGTGAACCAGCGTCATGGTAGCGACGTTACAACTTACCAGCCACTGACGTGAGCACAAACTCTCGTGAGCGGTAAAGACAAACGGTTGTTCGACCGGCGAGCGACGTTCTTTCTCGTGCTTCATGTTGTTGATCTGTTGGTTGTTTGCAGTCGTTCTTCAGCAGCCAGTTGAAGAGTCACCAGGACGCGCGTTTGTCACAGTGCGAACGGTGAGTGCGACCCCTCGTTACAGTTACCCATACCTTGAGTTATTCCCTCACTGATTCACGCCCATCGCTCTGTTATGTGTGTCGAGGTGTGTGCGTGTGCGTGTGCGCGTGCGTGCGTGCGCGTGCGCGTGCGCGTGCGTGGGCGTGGGCGTGTGCGTGCGTGCGTGCGTGTGCGTGTGCGTGTGCGTGCGTGCGTGTGCGTGTGCGTGTGCGTGTGCGCGTGCGCGTGCGTGTGCGTGCGTGCGTGCGTGTGCGTGTGCGTGCGTGCATGCGTGTGTGAAAACACGTACGTGCTTTTTGTCAGGGCATCTTGGATCGTTTTCATCTCAAACTTGAATAGTTTTCATCATTAAAAACTTGAGTATTCCAAAATAAAGTAAGTATTCCAGTGCGTAAGTGCTTCCATCATCTGTAACACCGTATTACGTTACGCTACGTTGTGCTTGCTGCGTGAGGCCGTGGCATTATCATGATGCCGCAGCGTTATCACGACATCATAGCACTTCATGGTCACTGAGGCCTCATCTCTCTGTCGTTCAGGTTACGCCGGCTACGGAGGATGCAGCGAGGCTTCAAGGACGAGATGCAGAGCATTGAAGGGCAGCAGTTTGATCGACAGGTAAATGAGACTCACCCCTCCTCCCCGCTTCTCCCTCCCCATCCCTCCTCTCCTCTCCTCTCCCCTCCCACTCGTACCGTGTGCCCCTCCCACCGTGTATGTTTGACATCGATTAGTTTATTAACATTTATGATAGCTGCGATTTGTAGCTGGGCGACGCAGTGTTAGAAATGCTAGAGGTGGGAGTGATAGTAAAGCCGTGAGATCAGAGGGTTAAACTATATTCTACGGCTTAACCGCACCGCATACACTGACCCCCTGAGGAGTCGGACTCTATCCTACAGCACTAACCCCGCACAGAAATACCCCCCCCCCCGACCCGAGCATACTACTTGGAGGTATTGCCACAGTGTGCTGTGCGTACCACGTGGTAGCGTTCTATGATGATGACGTATGTACGTGTGTACGGTGGTGGTCTGTGCTGACGTATGTACGTGTGTACGGTGGTGGTCTGTGCTGACGTATGTACGTGTGTACGGTGGTGGTCTGTGCTGACGTATGTACGTGTACTGTGGTGGTCTTACAGGCGGTGGTGCGGGACAAGATGAGGCAGCAGATGCGGTTGCTGCAGACGAAGATCCTCCAGCAGTCTGTGAGTAATTATGTGTACATGTATTAATTAACGCAGTTACGCATATATGACACATACTGTACAAGAGATTTGTGACGACATATATATATATATATATATAATTATGTGTGTGTTATCTCTTGTATGTGTATATATCATCTACTATATACTGTGTATGTACATATAATCATTATACATTGTATGCATGTACTATAAACAGGCAATTATATGTTGGTAGTCACTTTGATAGAAAAGCCATACCTACCTCTTGATTCTCTTCAAAGGTCGTTATGTAGTAATATCACCTCTATAGAATAGCCAACTGTGCGTGTAATAGGTCATTTTTGCCATTTCCATAGAAAGTCCATTATATACAGTTATGAATGTCCTGTGGTATTAAAATGATGGATAGATAGACACGTACACCGATGGACCGACTGATGGACAGAGAGTGGAACGCCTTTGGGAATGAATAACAATGCTAATAACGATGCGAATGTCTTGTAAACTTTTGCAGCAACAGAGAGAAGTCAGCAATGTACGACGATCACTCCAAGCCATGTTCATGTCATAGTGTCAAGCATCGCGATCTGGTGGGAGTATGTGATCAGTTAGGGTACAGTAGTCATTATGTTTTTGCATCTGTTCGTTTTTTGTCGTAGATTTTAAACAAAGAGTACGTTGTTTTATTTAATGCGTTAATATTTATAATGGTTACAATTTATTTATACGTTGAACAATTTTTCAAGCTGTTTATTTGTACTTAATTGATGTATATTAATTAAATGTCGATAGTAATCTTAATACCAACCGAAAGCTTAAAGATATGGTTAGCTTACTAGCGCAATTATACAGTTTCCGTTTTAATATGTATCATACGTTTCTTCTTATTCGATGTATTTTTAATATACTATATTGATTGATTAAATGAACTAATTATACGAAGCAATGTCTTCACAGTGAAACAGTATGTATTTATTAGTAAATATTTCTTGTACATCGGTGCGCGTAGCCGGCACAAGCCATGCGGCTGTTAGTATTGAACACGACCCCCCCCCCCTCCTGCTGCTCATTCAATACATCACGCCCGAGGTGCAGGGGGGAGAAAACACGAGGCGTCTGCACGTGGTTTATCACCATGACGATGTACGCATCGTCGTCGCCACGCATGCCCAATCAGGGCGGACCGGGAATCGAAGGCAGATGGCAGCACCTGCCCGTACGAGGATCGTCCTCGCGGATCTCTGGTGCAGTATTATATCTCATGGTGATAGATCCTGCCACCGACGCTGTGATCCTCGCGATCCGTGTCCCTGACCTGACGTCGCTGCCCCGGGATCACTACACGGATGTTCCGTCATCCTTCCTCTGTGCTTTCCTCTCTGGATCCAGCGCACCATCCCGGGGATTCCCTATCCCGGATCCAGCGCATCATCCCGGGGCTTCCCTATCCCGGATGCAGTGCATCATCCCGGGGCTTCCCTATCCCGGATCCAGTGCATCATCCCGGGGCTTCCCTATCCACAGTGCATCATCCCGGGGCTTCCCTATCCCGGATCCAGTGCATCATCCCGGGGCTTCCCTATCCCGGATCCAGTGCATCATCCCGGGGCTTCTCTATCCCGGATGCTGCGCATCTTCTGCACGACGTCGCTCCTCCCTCACCTCACCGCGTGGCAATTTTTACAAGCGCGCATACATACATATGTACACGACGACAGCGCGTGCCTTCCCGCACCATCTCTCTCTCACTGTGCGCGGTTGCATAACGGGCAGACGAGAATGTGCGCCACCTACATTGTCACGCGACACTCAAATAGGAGAATCATTCCAGGTTTGATGGACACTTTCGGTAAAAGCTGGTTCACGTTATGCCGAATAAATAATTATTTTTGAGGATCGGTATTCACTTATAATAATATAGTCAACAAAGGTTGTAAAACTGTCAGTGCTTACAACGCCTGTGGCGTCCCCTACATGCACACAGGCTAACGAAGTTATGCTATGCGAATTTTTATCTGCAGGCATAAGACCGAGGGCGTTTCTTTGAAAGTACAGAAGTACTGAGTACTGAAGTATTGAGTACTGAAGTACCGAGTACAGAAGTATTGACTACAGAGTACAGAAGTATTGAGTACAGAGTACAGAAGTACTGAGTACAGAGTACAGAAGTATTGAGTACAGAGTACAGAAGTACTGAGTACAGAGTACAGAAATACTGAGATATCTTATATTTCAGTATTGGTTTCAGCTAGAGCATGAATGTATTTATCGTATACAAAAAAACACATTTGTCTTTTGGTTAGATAGTAATTGGGTATGAATATAATTCCACTTTTTTGATTAGCTCCCGGTCTGAAACGTGCGAAATAAAAATTCAAAAGCGAAGTTTCGTCAGGGGGCAGCACAGGCGTACGGCAGCACCAAAAATGCACGATATTCGAATCTCGGCGATGTTTAACATAAAACGTGAACGTTCAACAACAGAAGTATGTGACAAGATGCTATCCTATGATGCAATAACCATCGTAATATGCTCCTCAATTCCTTAAGTAGTACTGCCCCTCTTTTAACCACCGCTCGTCGAATAATTTACGTGCCGGATTCGAACGATCCGGTTTTCAGAATCTCGTATATAATAGCACTGAAACCGATGTGAGTCCGACCGCATTCAATCCGAGATGTCACGCGCATCGAAGCCGCCTTCAATATCTAAATCACAACAATATTTGACAACCATGTGAACGATTCTAAAGCCTAACGCGTGATGCACAGCCTCGACTATATACGGTGTCCCAACACGCATACGAACTGGGTCGATTCTCTGCCGGTGTACGCAGCAGCTACGACTCCGCTGTTCCGGTCGAATAAAATCTACATATGTGCATGATTCATGCTTTTTTTTAAACCAACATGATGCATCCTCAAAGAACGACCTTTTCTCTTATAAACAAATACGCACCCACCGTCGCTTCTTTGGACGGACACCCAACATTTTTACGTAAAACTATTTTATATGCAATGTTGTGGTTTAAGGCGACTCTCTCTTCCTGCTCTCTCACTCTCTCACTCGCTGTCTTTGTTTTTCTCCCCCGCTCTCTCTCGCTCTCTCTCTATATCAATATCGACGTATATATATATACTCCGTTTAACCGTGCGCATGTGCAAGCGTGCAAACTATATAATATATGTATAGCGTTTCGCAAGTACGACAGATGGTAAAACGTCACATAGAACAGACAAGTGACCAGTGTTAATATACATGCCTGGCATAACCGCAATAGTAACAATATAGCCGTTAAATTAGTATTCTGCATAGTAGGTCGATTCTCATAGTTGACACTGCCCACCAGGTGGCAGTGCTGGCGTCCTGGGCACCTGGCGGGAGAGGATACATGTAACAGCCTCTACACATTTACTATTAACTACCAATTTCGCGGAAGAGAGGTCTCCACACATATACAAACATGGATTCAAATATATATATATGGTGGTCCAGAGAACACACATATGCAAAGCACACATATAATGTATCGGTTTAGCACATGTGTGTCGTATGCACCACTGCAGCTAAGATAAACATGGGCTAACGTGTATAACCGAAATATTTGTGACATTATTCCGTATTTCTTTTTTTATCCAAAACGGGCTATGCATGGGCGTGAGAAAGCTCGTAATAATAAATCTTTGGAGCCTGCATATTGTACCGCTAACGCGCAACACGGGGACTTCACGTCAGATAGACTAGCCTTGATAACGGCATATAAATGACTTCCATACAATTATACAGAAAGCCTCTCGTTCTTCTCCGAAACGGCCCACAGATGGCGCTCGATGTCGCCTCGCACATGTATTGACTGGGTTAATGGTACGTGCATTCATGTTTGGTGCGTGACGACTGCATCAGGGGACGTGTGTGTGCCTGTGCTCACACACACGCTGTTCAAGTGCATGCAGCATCTAAGACTACGACTCTATTGCTGCTTGCTACACAGTGACCTACGGGGCACGTGACGCATGCCCAACACACAATTCACCTAGTCCGAGTTTATAGATACAGAAGATTCATCTCTCTCTCTCTATCTCTTTCGCTCTCTCCCTCTCTCTCTCTCTCTCTCTCTCATTCTCTCGCTCTCTCTCTCTTTCTCCCGCTTACACGCGTGCTTTCTTTCACTCTCTCCATCCGGCGCTCTCTCTCTCTCTCTCTCTCTCTCTCTCTCTCTCTCTCTCTCTCTCTCTCTCTCTCTCTCTCTCTCTCTTTCCCTCTCTCTCTGTTTTGCTGGCACCGTCGTACGTAGCAGCTAGCTTCTTTCTCGCTCTAAGTATCTCCTCGTTCGTTTACATTCATCCACTGGATTGCTGGATGAAGTATACGCTGCCTGCTGACTATCCGTCTGTGACGCTCTCTCCCGTCGTCTCGTCGTCCTTGGTCGAGCTGTCGGCAGCCGAGTCCCCTCCGTCCTGCTCCGTCGTCACACTCGCGTCTCCTCCTCCTCCTACACCTCCTCCGTCACTTCCTCCTCCTCTGCCCTCCCCTCCGCCTCCGTCACCCCCTCCTCCTTCGCCTCCTCCACCTTTTTCTTTTTCTCCTCCTCCGTCATCTTCTTCTTTCGGTGTAGAAACATCGCTGGAGTCGTCTGGCGGTTTCTCTGTTTCTCTCTCGCTGTCTAAAATGAGAGAGAGAGAGAGATAACGTTGAGGTGAACGTATGTGTGTGCGTGCGTGCGTGCGTGCGCGTGCGTGCGTGCGTGTGTGTGTGCGCGCGTGTGTGTGTGTGAGTTGGTCGTCTCTATGTCAGTGACTATAGTGTGCACATGTTCACTTGGTATAGGGGGGAAACAAAGCTCTACAGTTGAAACAGGGGTGAGATGTCATGAGCTATTGACTTAATGAATTGGTCCCGACTCGGACGGGCCCATATTTTAAACTATACTGCTAGCTAGATTGTGACCAAGGACAGAAACGCGAATATAAAGACCAAAGATATATATATATATATATATATATATATATATATATATATACAAACACGCGTGTTTGTATAATATATCCACGTGAAGACGAATGCTATGGCCATCACCTTTCTTGTCGTGGTCGGCGTCTAACCGTAGCTGCTCCTGTTGGCTCCTCTCTTCCTGCGCCTCTCGCTGCTTACGCTCTGCCTCCTTGGTCACCTGCTCATCCGCCAGCCGCTTCCAGTGCTGCAGGTTGTTGCTATGGGAGTGAAGGAGAGCAGTGCGACTTTATGATACGTCACCGTACGCGTAATTAGAGACTGATTAATTAATTAATTAGAGACGATGGTGGCGGCTGTTAAAACTCTGAGCACCACGACGCGGGTTTCCTCGCGCCGTCGTCAACATCTCGTGAATTTAGCGTTAGCTATGACCGGACTGACTCGAGTTAGAATTAGTACAGTGTTTACGTTTACTCGCTTTCCTAATTGCCACAATCGGGCCAACTCTACACGATCAACTTTTCGAATTCAACTCAACTATAGCTTGCAGGTTATAGCTTATGCACTTATTAAGACGTGATATATAGATTGGTATCTAGGATTTGCAGGGCAATTATGCCGCCTCTGTCAAATCACAGCATCATAGAAAGATCGTTCGCGTCGCGACATACAACGAAATAATTTGAACGTGACCCGTAAGAAATCACGCGGTGGGCTGACGTTGAACACAAGTTACCTGTGACCCGTCACTGAGATCTTACACCTATCACTTACGACACTGAAACATGCACGCATCAACACGAGTAGTTACTGATGACAGACACATCTAGTCAAATCTAACACTGGACGACGACTAGAGGACAATCAGATGGTTAACAGTCACAGCCAACACTGTACAACGGCTCATACACAGAAGCTATACATATACATATACATATACATATACATATACATATACATATACATATACATATACATATACATATACATATACAGTTCCCACTAGAACTGCAGTCAGAACTACAGTCAGTGCTAACATCGAACACCGAGCTGCTAAACAAAAGCATCTGACGACGACGACAGCTTATCATGGCCGACGTCGCCCGACGAAGTGTTAGCGACACACAAGCCGGTCGGCGTTTGTAGATCTATAAGTATATATATATATATATATATATATATATATATATATATATATATAATATATATATATAAGTATATGTATATATTGTCGCAACTAACAACATCGTAACGACGTATCCGACAGGATAAAGAAGTCGTAAACACTGACAACATCTATGCTAAATCGACATTTGGTGTGGGTGGGGAAGTTTGGGGCAGAGCTTGTGTGAGTTCCACCCGGACGCTCCGTCTCTCTCCCACGAGGGGACTCAGGGGAGGTGGACCGGTACCACCCAGCCCGAGATTGTGTCTGCGAGAAACGAAGACTTGCACCCCGTCGTATACGTTGGGGGTGTACGAACGTGATACGGATCAAAGCGACGCGCTGCGAACGCGGGGATCTCTCGCGCGGGGGTGGGGGAGGGTAGGGTGCGCGCTCGCGACCGAATCTGAGGGGGGTGGGGCGGCGCGCGCGCGTGTGTACTGCTCGGAGGTTTTCTTCCGTCTCAGCGCCACCTATCGGGGGTCTTTACGCGTGTGACGTCACCGCGTGACTGAGCAGTGAAAGCGGGAATGCTGCCAACGCTTCCAGCCAATCGGGGTGCAAGCGTCTGTTACCGCTTTTATTGACGAACGTTAACATATCCGACGGGCCTCAAGAATGTGACCGCGGAAAAAAAATTGGCGAAGTTTTTTTGTCGGTTTCCGCGTTTATTTTTCTCACTTTCTGTTGCTCTCGACGAATTCGTGCGTGGCGTCCGTTGCGACCGCGGCGCCACCTCGCGGAGTGGGTCTCGCGGGAAAAGCGTGGGCCGACAGGCACCACACAGATTGAATGTCGCACAGTGCGGTGTGAACACGGATGCGACATAGAACATTGCGCGGGCGTGTGTGTGTGTGTGTGTGTGTGTGACAAAATAAAGTAAGTATTCCAGTGCGTAAGTGCTTCCATCATCTGTAACACCGTATTACGTTACGCTACGTTGTGCTTGCTGCGCGAGGCCGTGGCATTATCATGATGCCGCAGCGTTATTACGACGTCATAGCACATCGTGGTCACTGAAGCCTCATCTCTCTGTCGTTCAGGTTACGCCGGCTACGGAGGATGCAGCGAGGCTTCAAGGACGAGATGCAGAGCATTGAAGGGCAGCAGTTTGATCGACAGGTAAATGAGACTCACCCCTCCTCCCCGCTTCTCCCTCCCCATCCCTCCTCTCCTCTCCTCTCCCCTCCCACTCGTACCGTGTGCCCCTCCCACCGTGTATGTTTGACATCGATTAGTTTATTAACATTTATGATAGCTGCGATTTGTAGCTGGGCGACGCAGTGTTAGAAATGCTAGAGGTGGGAGTGATAGTAAAGCCGTGAGATCAGAGGGTTAAACTATATTCTACGGCTTAACCGCACCGCATACACTGACCCCCTGAGGAGTCGGACTCTATCCTACAGCACTAACCCCGCACACAAATACCCCCCCCCCCGACCCGAGCATACTACTTGGAGGTATTGCCACAGTGTGCTGTGCGTACCACGTGGTAG